GTCCTAAAGCTCAGGTCTGCCCGTGTCACTCCCCTACTCAATAAACTCCAGTGGCTCCCTATTGCCTCCAAGATCACATACAAAATGTTCTGTTTGGAGTTCAAAGCCCCTCATAACCTAGCCCCCTCCTACCTTTCTAGTCTTCTTATACCTTCCTCCCCAACATATATTCTTCAGGCCAGTGATGCTGGCCTTCTGGCTGTTCCATGAGCGAGACATTCCATCTCTTGGCTCTGGGCATTTTCTCTCCCTGTCCCCTGGGTCTGGAATGCCGTCCCTCCTCCACTCCAACTACTGACCTCCCTGGCTTCCTTGAAGTCCCAACTAAAATCCCTTCTACAGGAAGCCTTCCCCAACCCCTCTTATTTCCCTGCCTTCCCTCTATTAGTTATTTTCTATTTATCCTGCATCGGGGCAGCCACTAGATAGAGTGCCAGGCCTGGAATCAGGATGACCTGAGTTCAAATCTGGCTTCAGACACTTACTAGCTGTGTGACCCTGGGCAGCTCACTTAACCCTCTTTGCCTCAGTTTCCTCATCTGTAAAATGAGCTGGAGGAGGAAATGGCACACTGCTCCAGTATCTTTGCCAAGAAAACCCCAAATAGGGCCATGAAGAGTCAGACATGACTGAATAACAGCAACAAATGTATCCCATGTATAGTTTGCATTGTATGTATTTGTTTGCATGTTGTCATCCCCAGAGCTTAGGGTGGTGCCTAGCACACAGTAGGAGCTTAAGCTTAATAAGTGTTTATTGATTGATTATCATCACCATCACCAACAAGTGTTTACTTAGCTCTTACTCTGTGCCGAGCCCTAGGGATGCAAAGAAACTGGGTCCCTGCCCTCAAGGAGCTCCCTTTCTAATAGAGGAGTTAGTTCAGTCATGTCTGACTCTCCATGACCGCATTTGGGGTTTTCTTGGCAAAGATATTGGAGTGCTTTGCCGTTTCCTGCCCTGGCTTATTTTACAGATGAGGAAACTGAGGTAGACAGGGTTAAGTGACTTGCCCAAGGTCATACAATTAGTGTCTGAGGTTGGATTTGAACTCAAGATGAGTCTTCCTGAATTCCAGACTGGGCACTCTATCCACCACACCACCTAGCTGCCCCTAATGGAGGGGCAACATGTAAGCAACTAGGTCTTTGCAAAATACATACAGGATAATGAGAGATAATCCCAGAGGGAGGACACTAGTGGGGATGGGAGGGGGATGCAGAAAGTGGGATTTGAGCTGAGTCTTGAAAGAAACTGGGTAAACCTGGAGGGAGAGGTGAGGGGGCAAAGCACCCCAGGCATGGGGCATGGCCAGTGAAGACGTATATAGTTAGGAGATGGATACTGCTTTCATGAAACTTCCTGTGCTAACCCATCCAGAAAAGATCATTTCTTTGCACCTTCCCTATCCGTGAATTAACACGCTTTCTTTCATTCCTAGTAAGTGTCAAGTGTCTGAGTCCAGATTTGAACTCAGGTCCTCCTGACTGTAGGACTGGTGCTCTATCCTCTGCTCTACCTAGCTGCCCACTTAACAAGCTTTTAAGACCAATTATGTGCTAGGTGCTGTGCTAGGTGCTGTCCTAGGTACTAGGGCTGCAAATACAGTGAAACAGTTCCTACTTGCAAAGAGCTTACATTCTAACGGGGGAAGATGGGTGCATTGACAAAGAAGAATAAACACCGAGAATTATTGCTTAGTTAAATACAGGGTACTTTGGGAAGGAGGGCACGAGCAGCTGGAGGCACGTGGAGCAGCCAGCAATATATTTTCATTTTCTCCTCCAGACATCAAAACATTAAAGAGTTTTACAGCCTTAGCAAGCTGTCAGTAAATTACTGAATGAATGAATTCATGAAATAGTACTCTTTTCTTTAGTGGGGTGAGGAGGGATTATGACTTAGTTCTAGCTACTAATAATTAATGCCTCCTTTCACATATGGGGAGGATGCCCCACACCTCAGCAGGTTGGTTTGTTCTCTGAATTGTGTCCCTAGGAGGAGGGGAGGGGGAGTAAAGAACTGGGAGTCAGAAAGACCTGGGTTCAAATCAGGGCTCAGACACTTACTAGCTGGAGCAAGTCACTAAACCGCTGTCAGCCTCAGTTTTCCTGACTATAAAATGGGGATGATAGCACCTACCTCCCAGGGTAGGCTCAAATAAAAAGTGCTTAGCAAGGTTCCTGGCACATAGTAGGCTTTGGATAAATGCTTCTTCCTTTCCCTTCCCCTAGGCTGTTTCCACTCTTTCATGGGCCAAGCATCATGTTTATTAGATGAGTGATGGGACTTTGGTCCTGGACTCAGTCCATAGCTAGGATACTTGCTAAGTCTTTAGCCAGTCTTAGGACTTGTCTGCAGTGATTTGAGTGGTTGACTCAGCCCTGACTTAAGCATCAGCTTGTGGCTGGAGCGGGGGATGATTCTGTATCCAAACTTGGAGTGTGGTAGGGTATTGTTGTATGATCAGGGTTAAGGCTCAGTCTGAGTCGAGGGTTGGGGATTCAGTCTGTGGGTGAGATGATAGGATGCTAGATTCAGAAGTGACCTTTAGAGGTCATTAGGTCCAACCCCTCACTTTACAGATCAGGCAGGTGGCCTACTTGATAGAGCCTTGGACTTCGAGTTGGTAAGACCTTAGTTCAAATTCCCACCTCGGGCACACTTGCTAGCTTTGTGACTCTTAGCTTCTCTGTGCCTCAGTTTCCTTATCTAAAAATGGGTGTATTAATAGCATCTACCTGGAAAGGTTGTTGTGAGGCTCAAATGAGATACATAGAGTGCTTTGCAGGCTTTAAGGCTCTACCCCCATTTTATAGATGAGGAAACTGAGGCCATGAGAAGTAAATGACATGCCGAGGGTCACACAGCTAGTGAGAATAGGGCTTAATCTTGTGTCTGGTGTAGGGAATCATGGGATCATAGATTAGAAGTGGGAAAGGACCTTAGAGGCCATCTAGCCCAACCCCCTTATTTGGCAGATGAGAAGATTGAGGCCCAGAGAGACTAAATGATTTCAATAAGGTCGAATGCCAGGGTTGAGCCCAGGTCTGCCTGACTCCAGCTTCAGTGCCCAGGGCAGGGGATCAGTCTGTGTCTAGTGTTAGGGCTCGGTTAAGGGCTGATCTAGCGTTAGGCTCATTTTGTTTCTGGCATATGGGCTCTCTCCGTGACTGGGGTCAGACCTTAGTCTGTCATCTAGGTAGGTGGGATGTCAGTTGGCAGCCTAGATAGGCTGGGGGACAGTTGGAGTCCATGGTGAAGGTCTATCTCTAGCCTAGGGGGTGAATCTGGGTCTAGCATTAGGGCCTAACCTGCCCTCAGGGTAGGAGGATCTTTGCCCCAATGGTTGGGGCTCCTTCTGGGACCAGGGCCCTTCTAGGTATTGACTTGACTATGGGACTTGACTTTACCCAAGATTATGGCCCAGTCTTTGACTGAGATGTGGACACAGTCAGACCTGAGCAGAACAGATTTGTTTGTATCCATGGTTGAGCTTCAGTTTTGTGAGTTGGTGTAGGGCAGAAGGGACCATAGAAGGATCAGATCCTTGCCTTTGACTGTGGCAGCACCGTGCCCAGACCACAGCCTCAGATCTCTGATTCAGGCTGGACTGGGGGATGTAGTCAGTGGAAAGATGAGAGCAGGATGGAGGAGTCTTGACTCCCAAGTTTTCCTGAACGCCAGGCTCCAAGTTCTCCTTCTGGATTCCCTAGCTTTCCTCCCTGCCCTCCCCTACCCCCTTCACTTGTCTGAGATGGAGTCCATAAGCTGTGCCTTTCCTGAAAAATGAAGAGAGACCAGTCCAGATGTCATCATCTACTGACCGCCAATCCAGAAACTTCTTGTCTTCTTGGGCAGAGTGCCCAGGCTCTGCTCTGGCTTCATGTAGCCGCTCTCAGAGGGCGAGGGGGGTATGGGAAAGCAGCAGCTTCTCTGGAAAGTCCTGAGCTTTGGGTACAGCGAGATCCTTCTGGGAGAAGTGTGGTTTGTAGACAGAGATCTGGGCTGTCCATCGTGTCTCCTCGGGTTCCTCCTCCTTTGCTCCTTCTTCCCTCAAAACAAGAGCTTTTGGTGTCTCCTTTTTCTCCTTCACCCAGCAATCTCTTTCCTTTCAAGGTTCTGATCCCCACCCACCTTGTTCTTCCTTTACAGCTTCCCTCATCACCCCTTTGCTTCCCACCTCTCAGCTTGCCCCTCGTCCCCTTGATACAGAGCTGCCATGTTTTTCCTAATTGGTCTAACCGCTTTTCCTCACGCACAACACGTCATCTCCCATGTCCATGGCTTTGAATAGAATCTTCTTCAAGCCTGAGTCTCCCTCACCCTGCTTCTAGGAATCCTACCTTGCTTTCAAAGCTGAGCTCAAAGGCTTCCTCCTTTATGGGGCCTTTCCTGATCTCCCCCCAGGCCCCACCCCCCAGCCATCTCCAGTTGCTACTGCCTCCTAAAATTACATTTTTTATAGATTGCATTTTATGGATGAAGAACGTTTATATTTATTTATTTTTCCACATGCTGTTTGCCACATTCTAGAGTATATGCTCTTTGAGGGAAGGGACAGTTTCTATTTTTTGGTTTGTAGCTCCAGTGCTTAGCACAGGGATGTGGTATGTGTAGTAGGGGCTTAGTAAATCCTTTGAGCTAGTGACTTGCTTTTAGGGAATTGGTCATGGAAGACATGAAGGCCTGTGCTTCTGTATAATTGGGTGAGAAGGGAATTTGACCCAATCAGGGATGCTGAGCCATGCCTGTGAAGGCCGGGGCTCAGCAGCATTCCCAGTATCTTCACCCTAAATGTGTGTGTGTGTGTGTGGGGTGTTGGACAATGGCCCACAGTTGTGGGCACCCTGAGATTTTCAGTGGTGCCGTGGAAGTGGCTCCAGGCTCTGGTTCTTTGCCATGGGTATGTGACTGTGGGGCCTCTAGCCCTCCTGGGTGTCCACTGACTGCCTGGTTCATTCCTTGGTGCTGAACTCTGTCCCTCTGCTCCTCCCTAGGCTCAGCGATGGCGCAGTGAGAACTTTGAGAGGCCGGTGGACCTGGAGGGATCCGGGGACGATGACTCCTTCCCAGATGATGAGCTAGATGACCACTATTCTGGCTCAGGCTCTGGCTGTAAGTTCAGTCTTTCTCTCCTCTTTCTGCCTCGGCCACCTCTGGGCTGCTGCACCCTTGGACTGGCCTGCCTAGGAAGCTGCTGGCTCCTGGCCCTATCCCTACAACCAGTTGGCATGTGTGTACTGTGTGTCCTCCTGTGTGCCTAGCATTGTGCTGGGTGCTGTGAGGGATACAGAGAACACTAACCCTGTGAACTCAGGTCTTCCTGACCCCCAGGCCTAGCACCACCTAGCTGCCTACACTTAGAGTGTTGGTGGTTTAGCTGGAACTGGAGTCTGGGTCTCCAAGTATAGATTTGTCTCCCTCTCCAAGAGCTTAGGTTTTAGGTGAAGAAATAAACTGCCAATGAAAGGTTAACATACCAGGCAGTAGGTGCCTGGTGCCCACTGAGTGAGTGGGGCACACAGGAAAGTATGAAAAGGGCTCATTAGGAGTGTGACCTTGCTGGGGTAGTCACGGAAGGCCTTCTGGAAGAGGTAGGGGTCTGGCTTTGGATAGATGGGTTGAATTTTGATAGGCAGAGAGAATGGAGTAAGTCCTTCCCAGGAATGCTTTATCAGCTCCTAGGTCTGGTAGGGACCCTTGGGAAAAGGCCATATTCCCTTCTCTGCCATATTATCAAAAGAGAGACTAAACTGAAAGGTGGGTGAGAAAATACCAGTCCTCTCTGCAGCCCCCTGCTCCAACAAAACCACGGTTCACAGTAACACCACAATCCCCCCTCTTTTTCCTTCCTTTTAGACTTTGAGCAAGAGTCTGGGATTGAGAAGGCTGTGAGGATAAGTACCAATGTAGCTGTTGCCCTGTCCACCACACCAGCTGTGCTGCCCACCAGTGCCATCCAGCCCATGGGCACTCCTTTTGAGATGCAGCCTTCAGAGAGCCCCACCCCCAAGCCTGCCACCACTGTTTTGGCAGTGACCAAGGTGTCAGTGGTCCCCACTGCTGCTGCCACCGCCGCCACCATGGCCACAGAGGCCGTGACCACTGCAGCCCCAGCTGTGGCCACTGAGGCCCCAGCCGTGGCCACTGTGGCCCCAGCCACGGCCACCGCTGCCGCTGCTACCACCAACATCATCCCGACTACCGCTAGCATCCCTACATACCCCCCGTCCACAATCAGTGTGCCGGTTTCTCAGACAACAACCCTCCCAAAGCTCCCGCCTCCTCCTCCAGCTACAGTGGCAGCCACAGTCCAGGCTACAGTTCAGGCCACAGCCCAGGCCACAGCCCCTGCCACACTCACCCTCTCTGCAGTGGCTTCTGGCCTGGACACAGAGGCATCCACCCCAAAGCTGGTGGTCACTGCCACGCCAAGCACCGTGCCGAAGCCAGAAACCTCTCAGCCTCCAGGTGTCTTCGAGAAGAGCACTGTAGCTCTGGGATCTGATGCCCTGGTGCCCACTGAGGTGCCACAGGTGGGAGAATAGGCTTGGGGATTAGAGATCAGTGAAGAAATAGAGATTTAGAAAAAGCCAAATGGAGTGAGATTTGGAATGAAGATAAAAAAATGAGGGATGGGGGTTGGGATGGGATTAAGGATGGTGAACATGGAGGGGGTGAGCAAGCAGATTGAGGTGAGGATGCTGATATTTCCACAGCCTCTTCTGCGGGAGAAGGCTCCTGCCAGTCACTGTAACGGGGCACTAACAAATGTCTGCTGTTGTCTGCGTGGCATTCGCTGCCGGGCCATGTGCGCTGTCCCCATTTCCCAGATGGGCCTCCCTGATTCTTCCTTGATCCATTCCCTCTACTACTCTCTCTCCTTCTCCTCCATCCCTCCTCCTCCTCCTATTCTTTTCTTCTTTCCACTGGATTTGTATCCAAAAGACCTGGGTTCAAATCCCAGCTTTGTAAGTTACTGCTTATGTGACTTTAGGCAAGTTACTTGGCTTCTCCAGCTTGCAAGTCCCCCACTGGTGAACTGGGTGGCCCCTAAGGGCCTTCCTGACTTCCAGTCTGTGATCCTGCATTGCTTTCTCATCTCTTGTCCCTCTTATCCCTTCCTCTTTCCTCCCTTTTCTCTCTACCCCTTTCTTGACTTCCTTTTTTTTTTTCTTCCAAAATGGTTTATTGTTTACATTTTTACATCAATATCACTTTTTGGTGATCCTCCTCAAATAGAGCCTTTTCTTACAACAAATAATTAGAGTCCATCAAAACCTTACCCCATCATGTATCCACTTTCTTTTCTTCTTTTTGTTCCTTCTTCTCTCTCTCTGGCTGTTTTCTCTCTTTTTCTCCTCCTGTCTCTCCTCCTTCCTTTCTCTTTGCTCTCTGTTCTTTCTGCTTGGCATGGAGTATCTGTGGGGTTGGGAGGGGAGGGAGAACTTGTCTTTCCTGGTTGGGGGTGGGGGAGTGATGGCCCAGTGGGGGATTTCCAGGCTGAGGGAAGGATGAAGCCTCTAGCCAACCCTGTGAGGCCCCTGCCCACTCTCCTCTCTTTCTGTTCTCCGTCCCTGCAGACCCCTACCCCAGAGGCCCCACTGGCTACAAACCGGGAAGTTGAGGCAGAGGTACCATTCCCCAGTGGGGACGCGGAGCCCCCAGAGGAGGGGATCACCCAGCCAGAGCTGGACAATGAAGTGGTGGCAGTGGGTGAAAAGACCACTACCGCCTCAGCAGGAGTGAAGCCCAAGGATGAACAGCCTGGGCCAGGCCTGTTTGATAACACCATCGACTTGGGCAACTCAGCAGCCCAGCTGCCTCAGAAGAATATCCTGGAGAGGAAGGAAGTGTTAGTAGGTAAGAGCCGGCCAGGGTTGGGGGAGGGGAAAAGGGGGGATAGGAGATAGGAAGGAGGAGAAAGGAAGGATGGAAGGATGGAGTCTCCAGAACTTAAAATGCTCACTGAGTGTTTGAGTCATTCGTCCGTCATTCACACACTCATAGTTTCCTTTTCTCCCAGGGGATCCTCACTAGCTCAGGCTTCAGGGTCCCTCTTTAAACCAAGGGGTCCCTATTCCACTTTGGGGGATGTGGCAGCAAGAACCAGAGCCTGGAGTTGGCCCCACGCCACTTCCCAGTCCCTGAGCCCTGACCCTCTGCCCTCCTTCAGGCCATCCTCCATGGCCCCAGGCCTAAGCTCTGCTCCTTCATTCTTCCCTGCAGCGGTGATTGTGGGTGGGGTAGTCGGAGCCCTCTTTGCTGCCTTTCTGGTTACCCTCCTCATCTACCGCATGAAGAAAAAGGATGAAGGAAGCTACACCTTGGAGGAGCCAAAGCAGGCCAGCGTCACGTACCAGAAGCCGGACAAACAGGAGGAATTCTATGCCTAGAGGGACCTCGGTGCCTCCTCTTCCCTTCCCTCCCCCTGGCCTTCCTCTCCTCTCCTTCCCCCTTTTTGCTAACCCCTTGGACAGAACTGTGAGTCTTCTGAATCCCTCTGCTGCACTGGACCCAAGTTACTGCTGGTGCAGGGGGACATTGTCCACAAACCTTTGTGCCCTCCCTCTGGCACGTGGGGCAGGACCTTGGAAAGGGGGCAGCCAGCCTCCCCTCTCCCATCTACAGAACTTGGATTCCCTCTCCCCAGATCCCACTTATTCCCAGAGGAGCTCTGATCAGCATCCCTTCCAACTTTTCAGGCCAGAGCTGAGCTCCAGAGGAGCCAGTGGCCAGTCAGGCCAGGGCTCCAGGGACTTTGGGCCAGATTCCTATCTGTGGGAGAAGTTAAGAGTCAGACAAAACTTTCTTTGGTTGACAAATGAGGGGGTGAGATTGGGAATCCCTTTCTCCTTTCCCTTGGGCTCTAAATGGCCTTCTCTTCGGGACTGGGAGTTTTCTCCTGGACTGGCAGCGGGGCACCTTTTGTCATGGGGCCATGAACCCTTAGCTTAGTGGTTTTAGGGGCCCATGACAGCCAATGCCATCTCTTAGGCGGACATCATTTGGCCATGGCAAGTGAGCCCTGTGGACAGTGCTGGATTGAAGGTAGGGGGAGGATAGAGAGGAAGAGGCAGAGACAGTCTGAGTGGAAGAGGGGTGATAGTGGGAGAGGGGAGTGAGTGGGGAGCCTGGAGGCTCTCCACCCTCCTTTGCCCCTTCCCCCTGCTCCTGGGGCTCTCTCAGACCAAACCTTGAGTTACCTCTCAGTGCCAACCAGCGTCAGGGTTAACAAGCATGTGGCTTTGCCAAGAGTGCCTGAGAGTGGCTGGCTCAAGCCTTCTCCAGAGGAGGGGGGACATTCCTTCTCTCCTTCCCCCATCCCCCTTGCTGGACTGGGCACAGACTCTCTCTGTGGGTCGAGCTGGCGAGGGTGGGGGGAGTGTCTGGGCAGAGATATTCTGCTCGAGGCACGGCAGCCACCCAAGGAGGAGCCTTTGCCAGACACGACTTCGTCACAACCAGCCACGTGTATCACTCACATGACCCAGCATGCAGACAGTCACAAAAAAGTCACATACACCAGGCCCACCAGCCATACTATCATGCGTCCCAGCAGAATTCTCCCACACACCAGTCATTGACATACCCTGAGTCAGTATCACCAGCCTCACGTTCTCACATGCTGGAGCCGGGCAGCTAAGGAATCTCTTTAAAAGAAAAGATGAGAAGGAGGGAGTGGGGAAGTCACTATTCTCTGAAGGTTCTGGTGTCTGTCTTCCACCTCTCCCTGTGCTAACAGGTTATTCGCTCCTTTCCTGGATTCCTGGAGCTAGTGGGATGAGCCAGGGTGGGTGGTGGGATGGAAGAATAGTCTGATAGGTTCAGCTTTAAGAATGATCCTGTGAATTTTGAAAGGAAGGGGACACTCCTGGTGGACCCAGGAACCAGGGCCTGACTTCTGTGGTGGAGTTGTAAGGGTGCTTCCAGTCTGCCAGTTCCAGACTCCCTCCCTTGTGGACTGGGGCATGGTCCCAGGAAGGGTATGGAGATGGGGAAGGAAGGACTTTCACTGAAACCGACTGACTTCCTAGAAATGGCCTCAGGCCCTTGACTTCCTACGTGAAGCCGGCTCCCACCAGTTCATGGGCCTATGGGTCTGCTGACTCTTGGAAGCCACTTAGTGCCTGCCTGGATAGAGTCATGAGCAGCCCCTAGCCCTCTGCCCAGCCCAGCTGCCTGTTGACTAGTATATGGACACTGGCCCTCCCCGTTGGGGAACCGCTGTGGGGGGACTGTTGATCGTCCCAAGGCCCTTTGGTACCTTCTCCCCAGAGGGCTCCCAGGAGCCCATTGGGAGGTCCCTGGCCCAGAGCTTGTGGTTGGTGAAGATTGTGCTGGCAGTGGGCTCCCTGTCTTATGGACTCCACTCTTTCCTGTCCCCGTCCCAGGCATCTCCATACTATTAGACCTTGTCTGGGAGTGGTGCCGTATTCATAGACAAAGCCTGGCCCATACAGTTTGTTTCTTCTGCCTCCTTGAGAGACCTGAGGAACCTACCATCTCTTGGGAGCACCTACTGTTGGAGGCCTCCGCACCTGGACCCTGGGCCCCCAGGGGAGCCGCCCAATGCTGATTGTCGAGAAACTGGAATAGCATCGTCACCTGTGGGCCTCACGCTGGGGCCAGTCTGTTCTAGATGGATGCACTCTCCTTCAGAGGCCCAGAGCCTGTTGCAGGCTGTCTCAAACTTGGGGGAGGTGGTTTTGCACCAGGGGAGGAGAGGCCGAAAGGAGTTCCAGGGATACAGTCCTGGTTTTTGGACTGTTTGCCTCCCATCCCCACCCTTAATGTCCCATTGATCTCATTCCTCTTGCTTTATCAGCTCCTCCAGCCCAAAGTCAGAAAGTCAGGCCATCCCCTTGGGGAATTTTGAAGTCTGCAGATGGGGAATGGGGAGAGGCTTGTAGCTTCTGGGGGAATGCGAAAGCAGGGAGAAAAGTCTGGTCTGAGGCCCGGATGGAAGCTTGAGTTGATGGACTAGATCCCAGGAAGGAGGTGTGGAAGGGTCTCCAGATGTCGGTCCCTGCTGCCCCATTTCCTCCGTGGACTCCTGTCCATAACCTCTTTTCAGTTAGATCCAGGGCCTTCTGCCCACTTGTAGCACTGGTACTCACCTTATTCCATCAGTCTTGTTTCCCCACCACCCACTTGTAGGGCCACAGTGATTGGCAGGCCTTGAGGAAGAGTCTAGTGTCATCTCCAAGATGCCTGAATGGGGCCAGTCTTCCTCAGGCTAGGAACTCACTGGAGTGCCAGAGCACAGCTGGGGAAAAGTTGGTCCCCAAATGTTTGAGTGAGGAGGGACAGGGAATAGGGTTGCCTGAATGCCAACTGTCCCTTCTGGGTCCCTATAGTAGTGACCTTTTCCTAGGCTTCATCTTTGTCACATCACCATGGGTTCCCAAGTCTGAATTGACATATAGCCTTGTGGATAGAAATGGGAAAGGACTCTGAGAAGTAAAGATGAGGTAATATCTCTCCCAGAAAACTGGTGGGGAGAGTGTGGAGAGGGGTGAAGCTACCATCAGTGTTCCTTTCATGGGACCTCCCCTTCCTTTATCTGACCATGAGTATGATATGAATGTCACAGTGTCCGTCCTGTTCGAATGAATCACCCTATACCTTGACCCCATTTCTAGGCAGGCGCTTGGCTTGGGGAGGATCTCTTGTAGGTGGGGAAGGGGGTGAGAAGTTATAGGCAGTAGGTTGCCAGAAGTGAGTTTTGTCAGTAATGAGGGCATTCTAGCCAGAGGGGAGTTCATATAGCCCAAGAGCTTCCTCTAGATAAGGAGAGTTGGAGGGTTAGGGGCTGGAGGAAGCCCTCGAGGAGTTGGGTCATTGTGTCTACAGCCTTGGTCCCCTCAACCCCAGGAATAACACTCTCTGAGGAGGCCATCTTTGGTGACTCATTTCTCCCATTTCTGGGGGTCCTTGGAAACTGATGGGAATGGCCCCTAGTGGAGTGCCCAGTGGAAAAGGGAAGGTAGAGGAGAAAGCCAACTGGACTGGGGAGCCTTGTGGTTAGGGGATCCCTTGTGGGTCAGCTGGCGTTGAATCCAGGGCCTGAGAGATGCTGAGAGCTTGGGTGGGGAGGGCTGCCAGGAAGCAGACATTCCCATTCCTCCTAGACTCAACTATTAGCAAGGCAGCTTCTTTGTAAAAAGCTACCTTTTGGGGTGTCCCTCTGCATTTTCTAGGGGGCACCCCTTTCTGTTTCAGGGCATCTCATCCACAATTTCAGGACAAATATTCCTCCACTTTCTATAGCCACCCCTTCCTCTTCTCCCCATTCATGGGGCAGTGACCCCAGGCTGCTCTCCTTGTAAATAGGAATTGAAGAAGCCTGTATAGATTTACAAATAGCAAGATCTCCAAAAGAACTGGGGCTTGAGGATCACAGGGTACATGGTCCAGTCTAGAGAGCTTCTGAAAGTCCCAGGCTCTGGCGCTTACCCTGAAGAAGCCTCCTGGGCTGCAGCTGGCACCATGGCCCTCTCCCCCAAATAGTGAATGCATGTAAATATTTTTAACAGGAACTGTCTCATGCAGCAGGCCCCTCTTTGGGGGCTCTCCCTCTACAGAACCACCCCTGGGCCTGGGACTTGGAGGGGCAATTGTCTGTGCATCCAGGCGGAAGAAAGGGGAGAGCAGAAACCCCCTACCCCACCCTATCTATATCCTTCCCACTCAACCTGTTGAACTGTTTTTTGTCCTGAGTTTATGGCCAAAACTTTTGAATAACAAGGGAGAAAGAGACCAACTGAACCCTTCCCCATCATGTTGGGGGTGGGGGAGGAGCTAGTCCAAGCCCTGGGCTCATGGCCCAGTCTTGTAATGGTACCATTATTATTATTTTTTAATTCTTTCTGTGTTGTGCCCATTTATAAGAGGAAATAAAATAAGTCATTGAAAGGATGCTCCCTGGCTGGGAGTGGGGTGAGCATCAGAATCATTTCTCTAGGCCTTGACCTCACATCTCCCTGCCAGCCTAACCGGAAGCCACCTCCATGTGCCTCAACTCCTTCCTCTAAGGCAACACCCTGGGACCACCAGTGCCACCTTTGCTTTTAGAAGAGCCTAAGGGAAAAAAAGGGAACTTAATTATCTCCTGAGAACCATTAGTGTTCCACAACCATTTATTAAGCACCAGTTTATTACAGAGAGCTCTAAATGCTGGGGAAGAGAAAAGATTAGAACACTCCTTTCCATGAAGTTTAAGAGTCTTAAAGGGGGGCTTTGACACCAATGAGAAGGTAAAACTTGAAAGGTGCGACAAAGGGAAGTGAGGGAAAGCTTGTGTTCAACTGGTGAGATCAAGGAAGGCTTTATTAAGTGGCATTAGAACTGAGGTTTGAAGGATGGGTAGAAGAATAAGGAAGCTGAGGCCCAGAGAGGTGATGAAGGGACTTGCCTGAGGTCAGAGTGGGAGAGCCGAGATTTTAAGTCTGGTTCTTTCCACTATGTAACATTGCTTCTACTATGAAAGGCGCATTACTAGAAGACTGGCCACTAGACGATATTTTTGGCCATGGTGATGCTCGAAGCAAAAATCAGAAAGGTGCTGTGTGGCCTCCATCTCCCTCAGTGATGGTGGTGGAGAAGGAGGGCAGGAGATGCTAAGTATCACCCAGTTTTCAAACTTTTCTATAAACTAATGCTTACATGTGACTTCTGTTTAATGACCCAAAACTTGATATTTTATTAGAGTAATCTGTTCATTGAGATCGAGAAGCAGTGTGCTGTAAGGGAAAGGATGCTAATTTTAGACACAGGCCAGACTTGGATTCAGATCCTGGTTCTGATACTTAGCTATGTACCCTGGGCAAGTCACTTAAACTCACTGAGCCTCATTCTATAAAGTGGGGATAATCGTATGTACTGAACAATGCTTTGTAAACCTAAAAGAGCTATATAAATGCAGGTTATTAAGCATACCCATATTAATCTTGCTATAAATAAAATAGAAGATATAAGATAGTTGCAGTAACTAGTAGAATGACTTGTAGGTTCTTGGAGAGCTAAATAAAGGAGTTGATTTCACAGAATACTTGGTCATCTCACTTTGCAATGCTTGTGATTCGAATTGGCAAACCAACAGCCAGGAAGAGAAGCGCTGCTTACAGACCACCATCTGTTTCAGGGGATGAAGAAGGTCCTATGAAGAAGCTATGGAGGTCCTTCCAACAGTTAACCAATACCTTACTACTCAGTGACTTCAGTACAAAGATGGGCACGGGGAGAACGATAGAAACAATGTCAAAAATGTTGGTTTGAGTTCAAAGAATGAAGGAAGGGAAAACATTGTAGATTACCCAGAAGCCCGACAGCCCATCATGAATATTTTCTTCAAGAAAGTTGGAAAGAGTTGAATGTGATGAGCACCAAATTTCATCACACACACGCACGCACGCACGCACACACATGCACATGCACACACACGAATGAAATGACTATAACTTAGGAGAAAATGTCTAGACAGGGAATTTTTGGTTACCAACACGAGAGTCATTTCAAGATCAACTGGATAGGACAAAGATCATAATTGGTGATGAAACAGAAGACTGCATGAATTTACGGAAGTTTGTTCTGATCTGCTTAAATCAAGTCATTGGTTCTAAAAAAGTGGGAAATGGACAAAAAGAACATGGACTCTTGACTCTTGCTGTTTCTTAGGTTTTAATTAAGGCAAAAGTCACCACGATGCGGATGAAGGACCCAAGAAACTACCTTAGCTGGAAGACTTGTAGCCAAGGACAATTTTGACTGTAGAGTACAACTTAATTTACAGAATAGTATAGAGAAAGATAATAAGCAACATCACCCCAAAATACAATTTACTGAGAACTTGGTTTTAGATATAGCTAAATTGTACATTCTGAGAGATTTCAAAAATTAAACCAGAAAGGAGACCAATAAATAGAAGTGAACAGGTATGCCTTCATTTCTGCAATGACAATAGTGGGAACTCCACTTTTGGACTTCACCATGCTTGATTGTAGTATGTGAAGCAATAGCAATGCCATTTAAAAAATTGAAGTTAGGATGAATGGCTGGATATGACCAAATACAATACAGAATAAAGCTGTACTGAAGACAACACAATTTTAAAAGCGCTTGGGGGTGGGGGGAAGGAGGGGAAAATTCCAAAAGTGGAAAAGCTCCTAGGCAGTCTTTAATTTCCTTTTCCTCACTCAAAATAATTAAGGAGCTATCAGCAACTACCAACCCCATATACCTGCTATCTTATGTATAAAATAAATTTTGACAATGGTCTGTACATGCATGGAACATAGCCTTAATGAAAGTGTGAGAAGGAAATAGGCTTTTTTGTAGTTGATTTTTATCAGGCAGATCACTCCTTAAAACCATCCAACTAACAAATGGGTAGAGAATATAATATCCTGATGTTTATTTGATTTCAAGAGCATTTGACTTAGTAGAGGAAAAAAAGCATCCTTGAAGGCTGTCCTCAAGCCAGGTTTTCCCCATGTATATGTTAAAAACATGTAAGATCCTGAAACAGAAAACCTCCAGAGATAGCATTCCATGACCTCATTGGACAATATCAAGTGCCCTTAACGTGTTTGCCAAGCATAGAGGATGTTTAGGGATTCCTGACTCATAGTGAGGTTCTCCTGGTGTTCCTATTTGTAGATTTTATTGTGCTAATCACATTGAATTCTGGAATGCTAGGACATCTCAAATGAGAGCCACATGTTTTCAAAAGTTAGATAACCCTCCAGACTTAAAATGTAAAGGGGATGGAAAACATGTTACCCAGATTATAACATAGATTGGCCCTTGAGTTAGTACTTCAGAGCATCTTCCTCTCTTCCTTCCTTCCTCTCTCTGTCTGTCTTGTCTGTCTCTGTCTCTGTCTGTCTGTCTCTCTCGGATAGATGCTACTAATGAACAATGAGGTGGATCCATAATTATATAGGAGGAAGAAATTAGACTGGATCCCATTTGGGAACTTAAGCAATGCTCTTGATGACCCCAAGCTACTTGTACCCACCCCACTCCCCCAATCCATGTTTTTAACACCAAGAGTATGATTTTCAACATGGAATCCACTATCTCAGAAGAATCCAAGTTGTAGGTAACCTAAGGAAATTTGTGTGGTGGATGGAAGTTAGTAGTAGCATCTTGCCAACAGTGACTTGGATATGGAAAGTGGGTGATACCATCAAGGACATAACCACCAAAAGAGGTGGGATGGTCGGGTAGAGAGACTGAGGTTTAAAACATAGACAATCATGGTTGCCCTGGTGTCCATGATTTAGTAAAGGAAAGGATCCATCCAAAGATGGATCTATGTAGAAAAGATGAACAAGAATTGCATAGTATGAGATGCTGAAGGGTTGCACTGTGTGCTGGGGAGGAACTACTATCCACACTGTTAAGGTCACAGACAATAAAAGTTTAACTGGTCCTAACATGCATTCTTCACAACAACCTTGTGAGATATGTAGTTTAAGAGGGGGGGCAATGTGACATTGTGTAAAGAGCAGTCAATTTGGAGTCAGATTAGTTCAAATCCCTGGCTTTGTCACTAACCAGTCATGGGACTGAGTCACAAAATCTAACCAAGGCTCAGTTTCTTTATCTGTAAAATGGGGATAATAATACTTCCACTACCTACCTCATGGTGTTGGTGTAGGAAAGGTAAACTGAAACTGAAAAGCACTATATAAATGAGAATTTATGCAATATATTACAACAAGGTGTAACATAATAGAAAACAAGTCATCATGTCCCTGTTTTAAAAATGAGGAAATGGGTAGTCAGAAAGGTGAAGTGACCTCCCAAATAAGAATCAGACACAGCTAATAAGAGTCAGAACTTTGACTTGAACCCAAGAGAGGAAATGGAGGGTGTATTGGATGGGGTGTGTGTGGCAAGTACTTCCCATTTGTGAAGGGGGATTAGTGTGAGATAGAATAGCTCCAGACTACAAGGGCCTTGGATGCCCGGCAGAGAAGATTGATTCTGTAGGTCATAAGAAGCCAATGGAGGGTTTTGAACAGGGAAATGAACAGGGAAAACTTGGCTGGAGAGACATGAGGAAGATCCATCTGGCACTGGTGTGAAGGAAAGCAGCTATGGTAGAATCAAAGATGATTGGATATGAAGTGAAGATCCATGTTCAAATCTCATTTTGGTCACCGCAACCACGGACAAGTCCCACCACTTCTATTAGCCTCAGTTTCCTCATCTGTAAAATAACACTTGCAATACCTACCTCACAATGTAATCGTGAGGACCAAATGAATGTATGTAAAGTGTTTTGTAAAACTTGAAATGTTATAGGAGCTACAAATAGGCTTGGAAGATTGGAGCAGCCAGAAGGTACAAGGTGGGGAGACTTATTACAAGATTGTTGCTATGGTTCAGGGAAGTGGTAATGAGAGGAGCTACTATTAAAATACTTTGAGATGCTTAGAAACACAGACTTGGTTGTGCTAGGACCTAGTTTGAGGGCTGACTATGGGAGAAACGGGGGATAGAATGGGGTCTTATTTAATCTCCAGATCATAGGAACTTTAAGGGAACTGAGTCATTGAGTCCCATCCTCCCACCCAGTTTAGGAATCCTCTTTATGTTATGGCTGCATCATGGTGTAGCAGAAAGGGTATTGATCTTGGAGTGAGGAGAAACCCAGATTTAAATCCTACTTCTGACACTTCCTGGCACCTCTGGGAAGTCATTTAACCTTGCTGAGCCTCAGTTTGCTCATCTGTAAGACGGAAAGAATGATGCCTGTGGAACTTAACTCATAGGATTGCTGTGAGGTTCTAATGAGATCGTATCTCATTAGATATGAGTGATATTATGAGAGATATGATATTAGATATCTCACTTTACAAGCCTTAAATCTATAAATGCCAGCTATCATGATTTCCCAACCTTTGCTTGGATACCCTCAGTGACTGGGAGGGAGCTCATTATCTACCAATGACCTCTCTGGGTTGTTCCATTATGTCTCATTCATGGATAATGTCTAATTGGTAAGAAAGGTTTTTTTTTCCCTTCTATTGAGTTGAAGTCTGCCTTCTATTACCTTCTGCCCATTGGTTCTAGTTCTTCCTTTTGGAGTCTGATTCTTCTCCCTCATGACAACTCTCCAAAATATTTGAAGACAATGATCAGATCTCTCATAAGTCCTCCAGAGGAACACAGTCATTCCTTCAACTCATCCTCATATGGTATGGTCTCTAGTTCCATCCTATCTTCCTCTGGATTTGCTCCACTTTGTCAAATGTCTCTACTAAAATATGGTGCCCAGAACTGAGCCCAGTTGTTCAGATGTGTTCATCTGCCCATAATTGAATATGATGAGATCATCACCTCTCTCGTATCATGCTTCATTGTCATGTTTGTTGGTGGCATGATGACTTGGAGTCGAGAGAGGCCAGCACTGGAATCTTGCCTACTACGATGCTTACTAGCTATATGACCGCTTGTGAGTCTGTTAACTTCTGAGAGCTGCCATTTCCTCTTCATTTTGTTGGTCAACTACTATTAAGTGTCTCTCTGTATCAGGCACTGTGCTAAGTGCTAGGAACACAAAAGAAAAAGACAGTCCCTGCCTTTAAGGAGCTTACAGTCAAATGGGAGAGACAACATGTAAACAACTATGTACAAACAAGCTGTAGATGAATAAATTGGGAGTAATCTCAGAGAGAAGGCACTAAGATTAAGGACTAGGAAAGGCTCCTTGCAAAAGGTGGGTTACCGATATGGGGATACCAATTACCTACTTTAATGGGCAGTTGTGAGACTTTGTGATGTAGGAGGAAGTGCTGAACTTGAGAGCACAGGTTTTTCAGTTCCAAATCTTACTCTGCCCCTTATTACCTATGTGACCTTGGGCAAGTTATCTGACCTCTTGTGGCCTCAATTTCCTTTTCTGTAAAGTGAGAGAGTTGGACTAGACCTTTAATATCACTTCCAACTCTAAATACACATTTTACAAATCTTAAAGTGTTAGAGAAATGATAGTTTATTGTTATTATCTGAACATATGTAGTAGAAGGAACAGAAG